TTACTCATACAAGAACCGTGGTGGGAGAAGATCAACAGCACATACGCATCAGCCACCCTAAAGGGGTGGCAAGCAATCCTCCCCAAACTACCTATCGCTGAAGGTGAACGACCAAGATGCATGGCCTACACCCGCCAGAATGCACAAATAGAGCTGACACTAAGGAACGACTTAGCATCAGATCTAGACTTCATGATCTTGGAAGTCAAAAGAGAAGGAGCGGAACACGCACCGATCAGACTAATTAATATCTATAATCAGAAAACCCTCACCGACCCCCAAAGCAGGGAATACACAGCGGACAGACTGGTTAACACCAGGCTGGATGTGGATGTCCCAACGGTCATAACAGGCGACTGGAACATGCGACATCCAACCTGGGATGATCAGGTCGAAGCCCCGTGCAACCGCACAACAGAGACCCTAGAATGGCTCGAAGGGAAAACATTTTCCATCTGTAACGAACCCTTCGTCCCAACCCGGGAGGACAACATGGGACACTCATCAGTTATTGACTTAACCTTTGCCAATGCAGCAGCACTCGGAGCAGGCGTCCTAACGGGACACCACGTAGATATGGAAATCGGCAGTCTGTCGGACCACCATGCCCTCTCCTTCCAGCTAGGCTCCCCCAGGGAAGAAGTAGACAACCTGTGTGAGGAAAAACTCAACTGGAAACATGCGTCGGAGGACAAATTTACAGAGGCCCTGAAAGCAACCATTGAAAACAACAAACCGGCCCACGACAATTTGGTGTACGAACTCCTCAATGAACGCCGCATTACAGCTACTTCAGAAGAACTCGACAAAGCAACAGAAACCTTGCACAGGTACCTAGAAAAAGCAGCAAACGACTCAGTTCCAGTGAGACGGCCAAGTAAAGCAGCGAAACCATGGTGGACGGAAGACCTTTCAAAAGCATATCGGGAACTCCGCGAAGCCAAGGAAATGCTGAAAGACTGGACCAGAGATTTGCACCGACCCTCAACATTCCTGGCAGGCCGCATAAAAGACCTCAAGAGGGAGGTCCTCATGCGCATCAGAAAGGCCAAATGGGAATACTTCCGCAACATCACGGAAAAGGCAAACCCACACAACCTCTGGGACATAAGGAAGTGGACCAAATGCCACAGGACTTATATATCGCCACCTATAAAGCGCAGTGACAACCTAGAGCCAGCCATTAGCCATATAGACAAATGCCAAACCTTACGGGAGAACCTCCTCCCAGAACTCCCGAGACTCGCCAACTCTCCGCCAATTTCTCTAGACCCATGCAACGATGACATAGAATATGTCAGCGTGACGAAACGTGAAGTCCGAGATGCCATTTTCACAGCCGCTCAACTGAATGCCCCAGGGATCTCCGGACTTACGGGGCGTGCTTGGCAGTGGGCCTGGAAGACCCTTGGGGACGAGATATTCCACCTCCTCAGGCTATGTGCAGACTCAGGCTACCACCCGAAATTATGGCGCACATCCATCGCAGTGGCCTTGCAGAAACCAAACAGGGACTACTCCCTCCCCAGATCATATCGATTGATTCAACTACTAGAAGTCTCGGGGAAAGCTCTCGAACGGATCCAAGCCCGTAGGCTAGCTTACTTGGCAGCAAGACACCGCCTATTCCCCAGCACGCAGTATGGCGGAATTCCCGGCAAGTCAGCCCAAGATGCCCTCCTTACCATCGTGCACGACATCGAGGCAGCATGGAACCACAAGAGGGTAGTCTCCATGCTCACCTTTGACATCACCGGCTTTTTCGACAATATCCCCCACTCTCACCTAATTAGCACGCTAAGAGCCTACCACATCCCGCTCCCCACAGTAAAATGGGTCCTCAGTTTCCTCAAGGACAGAGAAGCGGCAATCTGCCTAGATGGAAAACGAGATCAACTAAGGCCCATTTTCACTGGCGTCCCACAAGGCTCATGTGTCTCTCCTATTCTGGCAGCATACTTCACGTCCCCGCTGGCGAAAGCCGTGGAAGGAGTCCAAACCAGGATTGCACAGAACACAGAGCTAAGCACGAAATTTAACAACGGCCTAATTTCCCCCATGCCCCTCACTCTCTATGTAGACGACGGATCCATATCAGCATCAGCGCCATCCAGAGAAGAATCCACTGAAGTCATTAAGGCCGCTTTCCAGATAGTCCACGAGTGGCTCAGGGAAAGAGGCCTGAAGACCGATCCAGTTAAAAACGAACTCATGCACTTCACCCAAACCAGAACAGGCAGAAACGCCGGGCCCGGCCCATCCATCACCATCCCCTCACACATAAACGACGCCGATAAAACAGTCAACCCATCCAGCCTGATGAGATATCTAGGCATATGGTTCGACCCGCAACTCAAGTTCACGGAGCACATCAAGAGGATCACCTCCAAAGCGGCATCCGCGGCCCAAGCCCTTCGTATGCTGGGCAACTCAGAGAGAGGTCTTCACCAGACTCATGTCCGGCGCCTCTATCTGGGAGCGATACTGCCTATCGCACTTTACGGTCTACCAATATATTGGCGCAAGAAATCTAAAATGATCATTAAACATCTTTCTATACTACAGAACAAATGCTTGCGCATGATTACAGGAGCATTTCGTACAACCAACACACAGGCAATGGAAATCGAAGCATCGATCCCACCTATCGACTTACTCCTCGAATACCGACTAAAGATGGAGGCAACACACCTGGCCCGACTCCCAGATGACCACCCAGTCACCAACCGCCTCTACCCGTGGCAGAGAAGATTAACAACACCATTCACCGTACCACCACTACCGGTATTCAACCCCCACAGAAGATATCGAATAGACCCAAGGGACACCTTTTCAACGTGCATCACTCGCATCGCGGACCATATAATCCACGGCACAGAGAGGATCCGCCCACACAGCGAAGCCCCATGGCATATCTCGGAATTCGATATCGAAGACCGTATTCAGATTTACCTACCAGAGAACGTCGCAGGCGAATCCGCCAAAGAGACATGGACAGACGACCACCTGGAATTCATGACGGAACACGAGGACAATCCAGATTTCCTCTTCGTGTACTCCGACGGATCCAAGTTCACAGAAGAAGGGCAGAGATACACGGGATTTGGAGTAGTGGGCTACTCAGCAGGAGAAACAGTATTCGAGAGGAATGGTTCTATGGGCGGCTACATAGAAGCCTTCGACACAGAAATGATGGGGCTGAGGACAGCGGCGGAAGAGACACGTCGCTTCATCGAAAACGACCTGAACACCCACAAGCCGTCAAACATAGTATTTTACTCAGACAACACGAGCGCGATCGGCCGCATCTTCCAAGGGAAACCCGGAAAAGCCCAAGAGCACACCCGGACCTTTAGGAAGACAGTGTGCAGGCTCTTGGACGACAGAGACGACCTCAAGGTCGCGATAAGCTGGTGCCCCGGCCACAGTGGTATCAAGGGCAACGAACGCGCAGACGAGCTGGCCAAAGAGGGAGCTCGCCTCAGCCCGGACAGACCCCGCTACCACTCATTATCCTTTGTAGAAAGCTTGCATAAACAGGAGATGGAAGAAGATTGGAAGGAACGCTGGGCAAGCACGCCCACCCCGATCCGATCAGGATTCCACACAGCAAACCAGATCCCCCCATCGATCAAACCCACCACCAGGTTCAAATCGCTGGACCGAAAAACCTTCAGCAGGCTGGTACAGTTCCGCACCGGCCACGCACACCTGGGCGAATACTACCACCGGTTCGGTATTCACACAGAGAGTAGAGAGTGCACATGTGGAGCAGCTAACCAGACGAGAGAGCACATCCTTCAGGTATGCCCACAGTTTAAGAAACATAGACACGTACTGGGCCGGGGCCGTCAGAACAGGTTTTCGACCCTTATGGGGAAGCCCAAAGGCATTCTTAGACTAGCAGACTTCATCAAGAAGTCGCGGGCCATCGACAAAAAGAACGGACAGAGAATGACTCCGAACGGGGGAACAGGAAACAGGAGTACCCAACCAGTAACCCCCCGTAGGGAGAGAGGAGTGACATAGACATCACTACACCCCCACGCATACCCAGATAAGACTTAAACCCAGACATCACAACCCAGAGGACCCCGTCACCCCGACCACACCAACCAGACAACCCTACCTTGTATTGACGAGCCCCTCATGTACATTCAGATGCAATTATTAGTCGGGCTAGCCGCACTGCCACGTACAAACGCGGCCGCGGGGTAACAAAATAGAGTACAACAACAACAACAACCCACAGTCACCCACCGGCAATTCTGACGAGCTGAAAAAGATCGACGATGATTTCTATCGCCTCAGGTAGTTCCGTGGCGCCAAGCAGTGAAAGCGGACAGGATCGACGCGGCAGAGATCAGTGATAGACTGGAGGAGAGGCTATACACACGTATACGTTCCTGGGCATTCATATCAGTGACATCATCAGTTGCGCTGAGCTCATATAAGAGAAGCTCGATACGAGTGAAGCTGTGAGGGACTGGCTCACAAAGGTGGGGGCGTGGAATCGAGGTTGTATGCTAAATGGTTAGCCCTGCCATTTATCTTCCTGCTTTTCGGACGTGGGAACAGATGGCTACAATAACACGCCGGTTGAATATATATATACACACCCGACACATCTCGCGATCCCACGCTCGGCGCGCCTGACCGTGGTCACCTGGGTGCAATGACCCATCGGCAGGACAGGAAGGAACCATCGGCACAATGCGCTCGATCAACCACGATCCAGGTACCTCCGATCAATCTTTCTCGGTCTAGAAGAAACAATCTGACTGGCCAAGGTGAGTTTGATAATTGGTTGCATCGTACCTCTCGGTCACAGGGCATGTGCCCGCGAGGTCATAGCGTTGTATTTAAAATATCACGTTTACGCAGACTGCAGCATGACCGCCACGGCCTCTTAAAGAGCGTCTAATCTCCCATATAAATAGCACCTCCCGGCTTCTCGTTTCCTTTTCCCTCCATCTTTGCTATCTTTTCCTCCTCGAGTGATGGGTCCAAGTATCACGACCACTATCAAATTGCCTAACGCCACCACACCCGGTGCGACGATCCCCGCCATCGGCCTCGGCACTTGGCAGTCGCCCGCCGAGCAAGTGACCGATGCCGTGGCTTACGCATTGTCTGAGGCCGGTTATCTCCACATCGATTGCGCGCTTGCGTACGAGAACGAGAAAGCAGTCAAGGAGGGCCTAAAAAAGAGTGGCGTGAAACGCGAGGATATCTTCATCACCAGTAAAGTCTGGAGCACTTACCTCGAGAGGGTCGAGGAATGTGTAGACAAAATCTTGGAGAATTTGGGTATTGATTACATCGATTGTGAGTCCTTCGATGCCGAGTGGCGTTACGCCACTTCCATGCCCCGGTGACCTCTTATTACATTGCATCCCTAGTGCTTTTGATCCACTGGCCGATTGCGTTGAACCCTAATGGGAACCATCCATTGTTCCCGACAACACCAGATGGAAAATTCGACATTGATCACAACCATGACCTTAGCAAGACTTGGAAGGCTTTCGAGGATGTGCAGAAGAAAGGTGAGAGCTGGTCCTTGCTCGTGCCCAAGAAGACTGTCTCATCGATTCAACATCGAAAGGCAAAACGAAACATATCGGGGTGTCTAATTTTTCGGAATACACTCTCCTCAAGATTCTCCCTACCGCCACAATCAAACCCGCCGTCAACCAAATTGAACTTCATCCTTACCTTCCTCAGTGGAAGTTGCTCAAGTACCTGGAGTCAGAAGGCATCGTCCCACAAGCATACTCCCCACTCGGTTCCACAAACAGTCCGATTTTGAAGGACGACGTAATTGTCGAGCTTGCACAGAAATACGGTGCCGAGCCTGCTCAGATCGTTATCGGGTGGTTTGGTAGGTCCCAATCCCATTTTGTCCCCTCTTTCACAAAGTCCAGTCAAGAGACCTCCACTCACAACAATGCTTTCTTCAAATAGTGGCTAAGAATATCATCGTGCTTCCCAAATCCGTTACACCCTCACGTATCCTCACCAATTCGAAACCTGCCAATCTTTCCGCTGAGGATATCGCCAAGATCGATGCGCTTTCCGACAACCCGGAGAAGGCGAAACGCTTCATCAAACCTCCTTGGGGAGTTAAGGTTGGCTTTGAGGATTGGGATTTGGCCTGAGACTCCTCACTCGGAAGGGGTTGTCAGGGCGTCCGGGTCTGAAATACTTTTCTGGTGTTTGTTTCGAGCCTTGAGCAATTCGTCGATATGAAACAATGTACCAATACGATGTTTCCAAGTGATGTGGCCAAAGCGAGTCTCAGCATCAAGACTAACTCCAATTGGACAGAGACACTCTGCATTGGAGGCTACATCGCAAAAATAGCAGCCGAAAGATAAAGAACAGATGGCGAAATGTCTTGAACGAGCCGGGACAAGCAGGAAAACGGGCGATAACGGTATAGAATGGTATGCCAGGCTTGTATCCAGCTATTCTATTTATCCTTCCAGGGGGACATGGAAAGTCCAGAAATGCAAACAGTGGCGATCAAGCACAAAGACAAGGGGAGAAGATTGCTAAATAAATAGCAGGAACGATATCTCTTCACAAGAGAGCAAGCGATGCGCCGAATAGCATGCAAGTGCTAATCAAGGTACCCCAGCCAAACATCACCGCCAAACGAGCTGGCGCATCTCCCGCCTTGCTCGTCGAAGTTGGGCGAGCAGAAGAGCCAGTAGAACCAGTGCTCGTCACAGATGGCTTAGTCGTGATCGTGTTGGTATTTGAACTGGTGGTACTGAGTCCGCCCGAGCTGGGAGAAGGTGACGGATTGTTGCTGGTGTTCAGTGACGCGAAGTAGGTACAGGAGGATGAAGCACCAGCTGGGTGAGCAAGGGGTGTGGTTGGTTGTCCTTGGTGGAAGGTGGACGTAGTGCCATTGGCAACATAAAGACCCATGGGTTCAGTGGAATCACCATGGCATGACGAGAAACCATCACTGTAATTTCCGGGCATGTTCCATAAGCAACCCATCCTGCCATACAAAGTTGGTTTAAAAAGATTCATGGTCAGTTCGGTCAATGGAAAAGCTTACACATCGTAGATCTGTTACCGGGTGCCAGAATGGGTGATCAACACGCGACAACGGTAAAAGAGAGTCCGTGGGAAACTGACATGTTCACAATACTGAGTCGAACCTGGCTGATCAATGCAAATTCGTGCACAGAACGTGTTATAGCTTATAAATTCTATCCACTCGTGGTATTGCCGCATCACGCCCTTATTAGCACTTCCAAAGAAGAGGCCACCTTTGACAATGAACAGCTCAAATGTCTCTGTAGGAAGCTAACGTCCATAGAGTACATACCAATTGGGTTACCAAGGCCATCGGAACCCTAGATTAGTGATGTGAGAATTCGGAACTTGGCGAGAAATCGAAAGGCAAGCACATGAGGATCAAGTTCTCCACCCTCGTCACCATCGGGGATGTTCATAGACGTGAGCCTTCCGACACCGGTAATCTGGACGTAATTTGGTGTGATGACGAAATGAGCACCAGTCACTGTATCTTTCGGGATGAGCCGCGTTCCATATCCACTCTGCACAGAGATAGCGCCGCCGTCCGTCAGGATCGAAGCATTATCGATAGACTTGTAGAGCCGTGCCTCTGCCTACCTTCAAGCACCAAGACACGACAAAACGTTCCGTGTTTCCAATGGAGGAATTCCCAAAAGAAGATGTGTTGGAAGGTGGAGCCTGATCCAAAGCGGTGCCATGGCATGAAATTCCGTTGTAAGGTCAGGTTACAAACTCACCCAGACACAAAAATCATTCCAAGCATTGACTGTTCACAGACAAGATTAGATGTGTGATACGACGCGCGCTGTGGAAGAACCCACGATAACTGTCTTGGCACAAACTATCCTGCGAGCTGCTGTTCCCACACTGTAGCGATATAAGCGAAAAACCTCCAGAAAGTAATGGGAAGGTTTTACGAACGTTGTTGTAACCCAATTGACCCTGCTCCGTCTTATTGGGGACGTTCGTAGGAAGATATGTCGCCGTGTAACTGATTGGAGAAATGAGCCCGATTCAAAAGAGCTTATCAGTATCGAAGCAACGCACGAGGGAACTGGTGCGGTAAAATTCTGCGCCGATACGAGCGTTAGACCGCACAGGACGACAAGGACGCTCTGCTTGGGAACCATTGCCAGCTGCCAAAGATGGACAATGCACGGTACAGTACACAAGGGGACTAGTTGGAGAACCACCGAAAGTCAAGGCAAGGCAAGGGGGGAAAAGCACAGAGCGATAAATTGGGTATCTCCATAATGATTCCGCGGTCATGCTCAGTTATCTAGGGGGAGGTTTTTCTCAGCAGGGTGGTCACGGGTGACGGGAAGACGCGGAATTTTTTGCAAATCAACAGACCAATGATTACATAGTGTGATCGCCCCTGCCAGCAAGTTGAAAAAGGACTGTCATGTCAGCTCAGCCCAGCGTGGGAAATTGGAGGCCATGCATGAACTTGCCGCATCACTCCCTTCTTTATATGTTCCACCGTGCATGCCATCGCCAACAAAGTGAGGGTGGGTTGAACAAGCGCTAGTCAGCTTTGATCGTCATGACCCGATAAATCGCCCATTGTTGTTATGTGGCGCACGGCGGGGATGCTCGAGCGGGGGAAAGATCTCTCTAGACATAACATTGTCACCGCGCAGCGGTATAAGTAGCCAAGGTAATAACAAGATATCAGACAAAAGTGATAAAGAAATAAGATGAGAAGACCAACAGTGCATATAGTATGATATCAATAACTGATATGAGCGCTCATGATATGCGTTCCAGCGCGTCGTCATGGCTTGCTCAGACAGCCAGCAGGATCCATAAGAGAATCGCGTGCCATTGACAAACGTAACCCCCCGCAGACGCACGCAGACCGAGAAACAGGAGCAGCCAAGTGCGGATCACACCCGGTATAGGTTGAAAGCACCAACGTAGCTCTAGCATTCTCCCATGTACGCATAACACAGAAACCCACCCCGACAACACCACCCAGAGCTAGAGGACTCCGTCAACCCGACCATACCACCTTATCACGGATAGTCAATCCCCTTATGCAACAACGGGGGGAAACAGTCCTCAGTTATTCGTTGGCAGGCTGACGCTTATATGCGGCGGTTAATTCCCCCCTGGATTCAGGTTCTCCCAACCCGGCGCTCTAACTCATGCCCATGTCGAATCCAAGCCTTATACCGTACCAACAGCCCGGCGATCCACAAGAACGAGGCCGGCGAAATCAAAGCCCCGTACTCCAAGGCACGGATGCTACCAGAAAGTCGTTGTTGCATCGACACCCCCCACATCGATAGAGGCCGGAAACACCGGGCCTGAACATTCTATAGAAGAGAAGATAAGAACTCGCGGTGGCGTCGGGGTGACAATGGAGGAAAGTGCCTGCGCGCGTAGGAAGAAAGGGGAAAAGGGGGAAAAAAAGAAAAAAGGCAACCTAGGTTGGTTGATGGGAAAGCCCCTTTGTGGCGGAGAGGGGCACGCGCACGCTTTGAGCAGATACGCACTGAACTTCCGCAACTCCTTCACACCGCATTTCTATGGGGGTGAGGGGGTACCATCCGAGTCGCCACAAAGCGAGGCGAGTGATTTTTTATTATCAGACAAAGCGCAAAACACTTTTTTTTTTTCCAATACATAATGAGCTATGTGGACCCCAATAATATATATCATGGATATTTATCAACACAGTTTATTATTTCGAGTGGAAGGGCACGTACAAAGTGGGTGCATAACCAACCACTTGAAGACCAGCCAAATCGATCGTATAAACTACTTACATGCAAGTCGAATTGAATTCATCGATTTTTTTTTTTCAAGCAAAGTTTCGAGTCCGTGGTAACTAGTCACGCCGGTTTTGATTACATACCGTCGGCGGCCCCCCCCCTCATCTCATTCGATCTTGAGACTAGCTATAGCTCGAGCTGGATAAGGAACTGACAGGACCTGCTAATGAAAGCCGCACTTGGGGGCGAGGGGGGGGGGCCGAGATCAAAGTTCGCTAGCAAGGCCTCGACGCCACTCAGCTTTAAGTCCATGCAAGGCTCCTTGGAAGTTGAACTGGAAAGTTTGGAACAACCGTGTTTGACACATCATGGAGGCCCGGTTGGCCGTGAAGGTGAGCACAGGAGATGGTCTTTGCCTGACCTCGTTCGAGCAGTTGGTACCTGCAATTGAAGGTCGTGGTCGAAACAAAAAAAAAAACACACACACAAGATGAGATGGGTCGGGAATGTGGTTACGTACCGATTCGTTGCATGAATTACTACTACCTTGGTGTAGATCCAGAGTTAAAAAGTAATGGACACGCATGATGTTTGGGTAACCGTTGATCCTCCATGTCTGCATTTATCCCCATCTCTTTGATATCCGTGCTTTTCAGTGTCGCAGGCGGCCAAAAAAAAAAAAAAACATGTCCGATTCGATATCTAAAAGAGGCGAGGGTTAGTAACTTGTTATGCTGCTAATATTCGGTTTGCGACCGACAAAGCCGTTGCATGTTTCCATTCGCAATGAATCGGGGGGTAGGGGCGGCAAGCAATACGAAAAAAAGCGTCGATAGAGGGCTGAGGGAGCCAGCATACTTGGAGAGACATCTACTCCTTCTCTGTCTTGCTTTTTTTTTTTTTTACAATTTCCATGAAAATCGATTAATCGATCGATCGTTCTTCTGCTGTGCCAGAATCCCACACTGAGCTGTTCGATCCATCATTCATTCATGACAGTGTTGGTTGTAGGCGCAACGCAGGCCATCTAAGATTAATCGCCATCTTGAAGGTAAAGGTTGCTGAGGATTGCGGAGAGCTGTTACATGACGGCACCCCTATTTGGGGGGGGGTTCGCAATTCATCGAGAGCGCGCCTTCTAACACACTGAAGGGAGGTGCATGCATGGGAGCCACTGGAGAATTCGGACCCAGGGAAGAAGGGGGGGTTTCCCAAGCTAGGTCGGGGAAAGGTATGGGGCAAGTGTGTAGTATCCTACCTATGCTCAGAAGGAAACGGTGGAAAGAAGCGCGCATGCGCGCGTGTTCGGTTGGATGGGGAGTTGTCACGGAACAAAGCACCAGCCCCAAGCAGTTTTCTCATGCACGATCGATCGCGAATTAAACCACAACTAGCACTAGTGCAAAGCGCGCATTCCGACCGATCAGCAGTACTGATGGATAACACGACTAGTAAGTACACCATGCCCGTATATGCTGACTGTGACTTCAAAAAAAAAAAAACAGCGCCGTTGCATGTGGGTTTTGTCTGATGGCCTTCCCTCGTTCTTTTGCCCCGACCCCGGCGCTCTTTTTACTAAGCCAGTGGCTTTTATGAAAACTATGACACGGCCGCCGCACTTGAGCAAAAAGCTCGTCACGAGGGATGGATATGTATTGAGCGCGGCGCCGGACGTTGATTTGCCGGAGACAGAATTTGAGTAAACACATGACGGTGATTGCCGCCCCTCCCCCCCAAGCCACGTTAGGGTCATAACGATTGGTACGGCTAATTATGTAAGCTTCAGAGCCGGACGGTGGTCTCGGCTTCCGATTTAGTAGTGAGAAGCATTGGCTGCGGGATCATTACATATGTAATTTCCATGTGCAAAGAGAGGCAAAAGCGGGGGGCCATGACTCATTTACCTCAATCAGGCCATCATCAACTCGGCAACACCGGCCAACTAATGCCCGACGACGGATCCAGTTTTCGGGCGCGGGCCCTAGTGGAACACGAAGGCCTCTCTTGTAAGACGGAAATTATCCATGTATACGTGTTGGGCAATAAAACAACGGACTTTGGGGTCCAAGTGTGCAAAACCAGAAAGATGACATATAATCGAACCAACAGCTTATGGCTACCGTGCATCATAATATGTACAGGGGTATCAGCCAAAAACGAGGGGATCAGCAGAATAAACCCGGCAATATGGATATGTATATAATGTTTGTTTTAATCACAAGCGGGATCGGACCCTGTTATCCGAGGACAAGCCGCTACAGTACTTCTTCTCCTTCTGAAAATTAAATAATGAAAATCGATTTTTGATCAAAGGCTGATTAGGGGCCGTACCCTGGACGGGAAGGACTCAAATTTGTGTGTGTGAGATATGTAACTCAATCGAATCCAGGCACGTTGAACCCTCCATCGCAGAAGAAGGCTCTCAAATTTTGATGGTTCAATATTTGAAGCAACCCTTTTTTCCCTTTTCCTTTTCCTTTTTTTTCCATCAAAGTTTGATGAGAGGACGGATTCAATGTGCACATGCAAAGTTGCCGTTCAGCGCTCAATGTTATGTTTACTTGATTGTTCTTCCACGCTTACAATGGGTGGTGGCTTGGAATCGGTTTCAGGGTCTGCGGCCTTTCCAGGGAACTGGCGCGCGACGGGTGAAATAATAGAAGCAGCGAAACGCGTGATGGAACGAGTCAATTTGAAGGAGATAGCGCTTTACCCATGGTACATAAAGGTGTCATTATTTCAATGGTCGATCGTGGGAATCGTGTCGCAAATCACGGCAATCGCCACATTCGTTTCGCCACACAATAAATACAACGTCTATACGGAAATTTGGTCATTTCGGACTTATGCCCCTACTTAAGCTTTTGGGTTGTGGCGTATCAGTTTTGCCACCGGGAGGAATATTACCGAATCTGAAGATTTGCGCAAGGGAAAGAGAGACCCCCTGTCTTCTCGTCCTCCTCCTATTCGGGCATGAATGAACCTAAAAACGACGTCTATATAACTGAACTGAAAAGCAATCCCCTTCCAATCGGTGGCTCTGTACTAATCCCGATGTATGGGTTATTCAATTCATCTGAGTGTAAGCAACATGATAATAAAACTGTCCATCGCGCTCAGTAAACCTGATCTCACCCCTACCAACACATTGACTTTCAGCTAGTCACCATCTATACCATCTTGATAATACAAGTGGCAGCAATCAATGAAACTTTGAAAGTTGATGTACTATTGGCGTTGATGTCCCTGTGCTACGTTGTAGCGGTAATACGGTGAACTAACCCAACAACCCCCGCCGGTTCGCAAGGCAGTCGGTCTGGCGGTCTTCATGGGAATATTCCAAGCTTGACAGGGTTCTCCTCTAATTATGTACGTACAAACGTTTGCAACTTGAGTACCATCGCGCGATAATAATTAGTTCTACAGTGCTTAAATAGAGGCCCTTCTGGGCTCCTTTTCAGCAGCACCACATCCCCTCCCCCTTTCCTGACCACCGCCTCTGCCGATCCACTTCATCCTTTGGGGCCCGAGTAGCATTCCGATTCGCGAGAGAGCTTGACCTCCCCCACAACCCACACACTCCCCGTTTTTTTTTCGTCGCTTTCAACGACTCATTCCCGCCTCGATGATTCCCCTCGCTGACAATAGTCAAGCCCCTTCCACCACCACCACCATCATGCGTTCACGATCCGGGTCATCTCTGGAACGTGTCTCCGATGCAGTCGATCAAGTGAACCTGCTCAAGAGCAAGCTGAACAAGACTGAACGCGTCGTCGTTGCCGACGCCAGTACTCAAGAAGAGTCGTCTTGGAATACCCTCAGCACGTTTGATTCTCAGAAGGATAAGACTCAGTTTAGACAATACGTCGATGCCACCGATACCGTCAAAGCCTTTTATGCTGTAAGGGCTTCTTCTTCTTCTTCTTCTTCCTCTTGATATACGCCACTGTCTAATCTGATCATTTCTTCGGTTGTTCTTTCTTTTTGCTTACCTTTTGTGGGTTCTCTTCTCTTCTCTTCATTCACACAGGAACAACACACCAAACAAACCGTTGCATTCAATATCGACGTTCGCGTCAAACACCGCATACGTCCAAAAATCAAAATGTCCGTATGGGAAGCTATCGAGAAATTGAATACTTTGATCGACGAGTCTGATCCGGATACTCATTTGAGTCAAATTGAGCATTTGTACGTAACAACCACCTCCCCCATCTCTTACTTATTATTTACTCGGACACGCCGTCGACTTCTTCTTCTTTTTTTTCATTGATTGGGGTGTTGTTATAGGTTACAAACTGCCGAAGCCATAAGGAGGGATGGGAAACCGGAGTGGATGCAAGTCGTCGGGTTAACTCACGACTTGGGCAAGTTGCTCTTTTTCCTAGGATCACAGTACGTTTTAACTACAGCTTCCCCCCTGTTTCTCTTTGTTCATCCTCTATGTAATTTTTGTCTAGGGGTCAATGGGACGTCGTCGGAGTTCGTATACTCACCTGCGCTGAAAACGCTAACCGCATATTGAATTAACCCCCTTTTTTTTGCGGCACAACAGGATACTTTTGTTGTCGGGTGCAAGTTTGACGAGCGAATCATTTATCATGACACCTTCGTTGCCAATCCAGACTTCAACGATCCAACTTTCTCAACAGTAAACGGGGTGTACACTGTGTGTTGTTCGGTTTTTCTTTCCTTGATTGCTTTTTGTCATAACGGAACACACACACACTCTCTCTCACAGCCTGGATGCGGACTTGACAATGTCATGCTAAGTTATGGTCACGACGAGGTAATGCATAATACTGTCTGTTTTCCAGCTCGGGGAACTTGGATATTCACAGGGGTTTGTGTTCGTTTGATTATTGGACACGGATCTTTTTGTTAGTATCTCTACCAAGTCTTCCGAGAGCAGAGTACCCTTCCCGAAGAAGGTCTCGCCATGATCCGATATCACAGTTTTTATCCGTAAGTACCCTTTTTACATTCATCGAACCTCTTCTTCCTCTTCTTTTTCCCCACGTGAAACTCACGGCTTTTGTTTTGTTTTTTTTTTTGTTTTTCGGTTGCTGTTGTTGTTGTCGTCGTCAAAAGATGGCACCGCGAGGGTGCTTACACTCACTTGATGGAACCCCGAGATTACAAATACCTCGAAGCGGTCCGAGCATTCAATCCATACGATCTATATTCCAAAGCGGATGCGCCTATGCCCGTCGAGCAACTCAAACCTTATTATATGGAATTGATCGAAAAGTTCTTCCCTTCGGTGTTGGAGTGGTAGCCCTGCTATTCATATATGGACGGGGGTCAGGGGGGGTTCTTTTTTTTCTTCGTTGATTGATTTTGTGCTGGACACACTTCCTTTGGGTCTCTCCGCAGCTGGATACCCTAATGTGTTTTGTGCCGGGGGGCAAACAGCAGAAATAGGAGTCATCTTTGGATCTTGGAGCGTGTGTTGATGGTGTTATATAGCTTAGCTTAGTTCAGATGAGTATAGGTATAGTGGTACTGATAGAGGTATATAGTTTGGTTTTGTCGATCCTATCACCAACCAAAGCCTGTTTTAACTTAATATATACATAGTCAAAAGGGATTTCTGTATTGAAGTCAGTGCCAACGTACAGAAGCCGCCGGATCGCACAACAACATTTTGGAAGGACAAATACAGAGATATATATCCCCGTATGATGCGCTCAATAAAGTACTTGGGTACAACATTACTTAAAAAAAAAAAAAATTACAACACAACAAAAACGATCGAAGCACCGAGGAGCACGCCAGTGCCAACGAACGTCATGAGCGAACCCGAAGTACCAAACGTTAAAGATGTAGCGCCCCCGGAGGGTTTACTCTTAGTCGTGCTAGTACTAGTACCGGTACCAGTACTGCCACCCCTCCCAGCAGCAGACGAGGTAATCGTAATCACGCTATTGGACAAGCTCCCAGTGAACGAAGGAGCAGGGGAGTTATAGTTAGATAGCGTAGCGTAGTAAGTGCAAGAAGACGATGCGCCGGGTGGGTGTGCGGAGGGTGTTACGGGATCCCCTTGGTGGAAAGTGGTTGTCACACCGTTGTCGACGTATATTCCCATGGGGAGAGTGGAATCGCCTTGACAAGACGAGAATCCATCGGAGTAGTTACCTGGCATATTCCAATTACATCCCAGGCTGCGTAGTAGAAAGTACCGAGGGCGCGGGTAAGCGGTTAGGGCTCAATTTTCTTTTATCAAAAATTTTTTGCTTACACATCGTAAATCTGAGGAAGGAAGTCAGCAAGCATATCGGTCTAGTTTGAAGGCAAGGGGGGCACGTTGGGGGTTAGCAAAAGCTGACTTACATGTTCACAGTATTGAGTACTTCCGGGCTGGTCGATGCAGACGCGGAAGCAAAAAAATTGTGGGCCGTCAATGAAATTCGTCCATTCGTGATACTGGCGAAGAAGGCGGTCATTTCCGTATCCAAAGACAAGACCACCTTACATAAAGGGTGTAGCACGTTCAGCCGTTATTGTCGTTGAACACACACAAGACGCGTACCGATAGGATTGCCAAGGCCGTCTGCACCCTTGATGGGGGGGGGATAAACATTAACGCACGTCAGGATCGGAGCTACTATGATCATTGACCATTGACTAACATGGGGATCCAGCTCTCCACCCGTGTCGTTTGCTGGGACGTTAACTTTTGTCAGGTCACCTGTACCGGAGATCTGGATGTAATTTGGGGTTTCAATGAAGTGGGCGCCAGTAATTGCCCCCGATGGGAGAAGTCGAGTACCATAACCACTCTATAAGAGGATGGGACCAGGCCAACCGGCGTGCAGGCTTGATCAACGAAAGAAGAACCCGAAATTATCACGAATTGACGTACTCGGAGACACCAAGCGACTTCGAGACGTTCCGTATTTCCGATACTCGAATTACCATATGGTGAGGTATTATTTGGAGGCGCCTGATGACGGATAGCGTATGGGGGGCATCCTCAGTGAAGCGCTCTGCACAGACAAATTTTGGATTCCGACTCGGACACTCACCCAGATACAGAAATCATCCACAGCACTGACTAGATCCTCATACTATAAGTAGTGGCGCATTTATTGGGGGATGGGAGACTCGCCATAACAATTCTGGCACATGCTGTTTTGCGAACTTACAGTTCCGCACTATGGAGCCGTCAGTCACTGTCACAGCCAAGAATATTCGCGCCATCAACACTCAACCTGATTAGTTCCATATTGGCCGTTCTCAGATTTTTGAGGTGTATCGTAAGGCAGGTAGGTGGCAGTATAGCTGAGTTAGGCAGAGGCGTCATCCCCGGATTTTCCTTGGGCCACGGACGTATTTTACTCACGAGGGAACAGGCGCAGTGAACGTCTGAGCGGAGACCAGGTGGCTGCCAAGAATAGCCAACAGAGTGAGAGAGTATACAGTCATGGTCTCTATCATTATTCAAGGTTGGGCGGAGAGACCAGAAAGAGCGAGCTGGAGGCTCTAGTTGTGTGCAGTGCGCATTGTTATATGACCTAATTAAATGAATTGTGTTTCGGCCAGAAGAGGGAATGCGCGGGCATCAGTTTTGGGCAAGTTACTCATACCGATGGTAGGTCAGGCTGCACAAGTGCCGGAAAAATTTACCGACGAGTACAGTACCAACAGCACGGGTTCATGCGTGTAATAACATTCAGTCAAAGTGCCATGCAACGTTGCGAGAAATTGCCAAAAAAAAAGTATCAAGAAAAACCCAGATCACTGTACCCAACACACCCAGCAGGATCGCATCAACACCAAGAATATATAGGGAAAAAAGTAGCCCGGTTCTGAATCTGTAGTTTTGCAAACGTATCATGTAAACCTGACTCCGTCGCGAATGTCACGCAAAGCCCCCAGCCACCACACATGTCGAATCCCTTGAGGCATTGAGTTTGTCATGCAAGTCCGCTTTATAAAAGCACCCAGTGCTGCGTGATCCCACCGAGTTTGTCTTGTACATGGTACAATAAGTCAGTGGTAAGTAAGCACTTCTGTCGTCTGGTGATCCACTGTACTTATCCAAATAAGCCGGAAAATTAGGCGATGGAGAGCTTATTAATAGAGCGATGGCTAGCATATCCGGAAAGGATCCTCTTGAAAAAGTAAACGACGTTTTTGGAGACGACTTTGTTGGTATGGCACTAGACTAATCATTCCAAATTTGCTGTAGCCTTACCCAAACGGCTGAGGTCCGCTTCCGCGGATGAGGAGCCAAAACGTCTCAACGAAAATCTTGAGGGTGGCCCCGGCCTGCTCTTTCTAAACCCAGCAGGTTCCGACCGCCGCACAAGGCTTGGTCTGCATTAACCGGCCATTCGACCATTACACTGTTGGGTCCCATTGAGTTACTCCAACCGGAGCTCGGACAATTCAAGGATGATGTGCGGTGTCGCCGGACAGCATGGGCGCAAGGGCCTCTTCAAGAGCTCACTACGGCTGCATGCGAATGGCATGATGATGATAATGAGACCTCCAGTAGGTCGGCAACTTTCAAGGCTTTGAACGACCACGAGATTCCCATGGAGCCGGGAGTTGTCCGCAAAACTGAGTGTACTGAGTTCAGAACGGACGGCGACTGGAAAGTCACCATCATCATGCCGCCCACTATTAGAGAATGCGAAAGTGATTCTGGTTCTGAATGCATTATGGGGACAGAAACCATGGGAGACTCGCCATAACAATTCTGGCACACGCTGTTTTGCGAGCTTACAGTTCCGTGCTATGGAGAAACCACGAGACTGAGCCGTCGATCACTGTCGCGGCAAGTATTCGCGCATCAACACTCGACCTGATTGGTTCCATATTGACCGTTCTCGGATTTTTGTGTATCGTAAAGCAAGTAGGCAGCAGTATAGCTGGCGGCATCCCTAGATTTTCCTTGGACCACGACGAGGGAACAGTGAGCGACTGAGCGGAGACCGGGTGGCTGCCAAGAACAGCATCTATTGTTACGAAGTCATAGAGGCTGGAGTCCTGCCTAAAGATCAGCCAACAGGGTGATAGAGTACATCGCCATGGCCTCTATAATTAAGGGTTGGATGGACCAGAAAGGGCGGGCTGGAGGCTCTTGTGTGGTACGTGGTATGAACCAAGCATCATTATGACCTAGGCGAATTGTGTTTTGGCCAGAATTGAGAGGGAATGAGCGGGCATCAGATAGCGCAGTATGCCGATTGGATCTGGCGAGTTACGATCAGAGCTAGCAGTAAAGACTACGCAGACTCCTACGAAGTTGCGAATAAACGGAAAGACGACTGGGTAGGAGTTTGTGAACAACGATGAGGTTGCCTAGGATAGACATAGGCAATATGTAAAAAGTGACGCTCAACCCTTAACCAAGCTACTTTTTTCTACAAGGATTCCTCTCGGACTGAATGACGGAGCCGGTCCTCAATTGAAGACTTTTGACCATTCTTCCGGGAAAGAGCCGCTTCTGAGCGATCCCCAGGACTGTCCACTTGCTATCGTGGTTGCTTGGACACGAAAGGGTCGGACTGTTCAATATTCCAGAAGGCAGCGAATATATGGTTGAGCGAAAGACAATCTGCCCAAACCCAATCATGGTCATATTGCGTGATATGCTTGAGTCAGTCTCATGCTGCATCGCGTGCCGATGAATCTCTCGTTGAGAGCGTTGCCAACCGTAGGTGTTGATAGTGGAGCCAGACTTCCCTCGCATAGAATTGGCTCGGAAGCGACCGAACAGAACCTGAATTGCCCTCGTCTCTTGATCTTCGCGACTGGCGCCCTTCCGATCTTTCAGGGTCCATCAGTTTTATGAGTTCTGCCGAAGGGCGGGCTAAGTATCTTCCATCGTGTATTGTGGCCGCGTTGGTGCTGTCACGCGACCCTGGCGACCTGGATCTTCGCTTGGCTAATATTTCCCTAGCCTTTCCCAATTTTAACCATTCTTCGCCTTAGCCCTTTAATATAGGCACTCCCAACTGCTGCCTAGTGAGTGCGGGTACGATGGTGCGCTACCATGGGAGGCGCGGTATGTTAGAATTCTTGGTATCATGGCGTACGCTATGACCAACTCACGTTTGGGGATGTTGAGTCGTGTGATGTCTTAGATTTTCGCCAATTACCTTTCTTGGTGACATCCGTGCCAAAGTCAGTGCGCATTCATAGCGCCTGACTATAAAGGACCAATTTTTGGACAACCCAACCTTTCCTCAGTTCACGTACAACGGGACTGAGGTGAGTTGGTTATATCTTGTTTGTCCTTCATACACCATGTATTAAACATTTGTCCACCAGCGGTAAACTCGCTAGGTGATTATATTTCTAGTTCACGTACAACGGGACTGAGCGATAAACTCGCTAGTGCATCATTTCGTCGTATACGGTATGCCCTATCTGTTAAACAGCTGGGAGGCTGGAATATTTCAGTTCGTGGCAGCAATCCCGTTTTTAGGGCTGCTTCTCTGTCTGGCAATCCCCATTCTTCCTAAAAAGGTGCAATCTCAAGACACATGGTTGATCCTCCTGGCAGCTTTTCTCGAGTAGAATTCGAAGCCTCGAGGGAACAACGACGATCGCTACAGTACATTGAAAATAAAATAGGCATTTACGTCTTCCCATGGCCTCCGATTTGTTGGGTGAAGTCGCCTCCATGCTGGCTCGGCGGTTGTTGACGCTTGGCCGGTGTATTAGCTTGCTTCTGGAATCGACTGTTTTACGCGCGCTAATGATCGATACCCACCTGCTTCCAGGTGTCCACACATTTTTGTTGCTCTCTCTCTCTCTCCCTCCCTCTTGCAGAACCTCTCGCCCACATTCTGGGCTTGCGGTTAGACTGTACTAACAAAAAATGCATCATTAATGAACTTAGCCTTGTGAAAATGTCACCGAGGCTGGAAGGGTGGTTCCACCGAAGCTTATTCCCAGGTACAAATGAATTGTGCGCGCGCAATTGAGGCCACGCTCTAGGCACGCCTTCTCTAGAATACGTATTTAAGTGGACGTGTTATCACTGGGAGATTTCTCGTCCTACAAGCATCCAACTCGTTCCCAGAGAAGGCAGTCATGGATCCACCGTTTGCGCATTTTGCTTATCTCGACCCCTTGATGGCGCATATCCGCGAGTTGGCGGATGATATATCCTACTCTGAACTTCATGCATCTGTGACGGGGACTTTTCCCCATGTGTAGGTTTGACCACATCAGTCATTCACGCATCTCCTCTCACTCTTATTTCAGTCTCTCGATGCACCACTCGACCGAAACCAATCAGGAAATTTCCGATCGTGTCGTACACCTACTTTTCAAGGACGAATCCTCAGCTCGTGCTGCATTGTCAACAAGGATTTTGTTGAAAGACCAGCGATACGACATACATCGGGGACCATACTGCGGGATGTGTACGTTTTTGCTCTTTCTCGACTTGACCCATTGTTGTTGATATTAAATTAGTCGAATTTTTCAAGGGACTTCATGCAGTGCAGACCTTACCTCAAGGTGAAAAAACCAGTAGTTCTGTCTTCCCCATCTCTGATCTCATGCCAGCCGGTATAAAAGATCGGAGTCGCCGAGGAAGCGATGCATCAGCCACAAGCGCAAGAAGTGGATTCGGGCGACGGATCTGGGAGGCTCTGCCTCTCAGAAAGCGCACCTCTTCTCAGTCCACTGTTGACATGTCGCGTGCCGCGACCCCATCTTCCAGGTCATCTTCGCGCATGTCCGTTGAGAGAGAAGGCACGACCGATCTTGATGCAACGATTACGCAGAAGCCCCAATCAGCAATGCGGAAGTGTTCAGAAGTTAAGGGTCGGCAAGAGTCCAGAGTGCACGAAAATCTGTTGCCTGGATCTACGATTTCATCAGCCGTGTCATTACCACCGTCACCATCCTGTCAATCGAAATTAGTCGAGAGGCTCCCTACGGCCGCCCCTGAAGCGTACAAGATAAGTGACACTGGTACGATGGTGAAAGTTCCCCAGGAGGGGCTGAGACCTGAAATTGGTGAGTCTCGATGACCTGATTGAATCTTCATTGTCCATGATGCGGTGCCTTCGCAGACATCGCAATGTTCGAAGGTATCAATCCACAGCAATCTGCCAAAAAGATTCTCACCCTCCCGGCCCCTGAGCCAAAGAATGAATCTCCTAAATCACTTCCTGCGCCATCGCCACCCAATGCGACAGATCTTCCCCCCCGGTCGAAGTCACCTACTTCCAACGTTCCGAGGCGAGAAAGTTTACGCCAAAGGATCGTGTCACAGCCCCCCAAGCTTGCCATAATACCCGCTACTCCATCTCCAACGGCGACCTTTCAAGCTCGCAGCCCGGCCAATAGGTCGTCAACTGCAAAGCCACCCATTAATCCCAGGGGAACCCCGACTGAATCTCCGCGCCGCAAGAGAGTATCATCCACCTCTCCTCCCCTAACTGTCAACCAGAAGAAGTTTCTCCGAAATGCTAATAAGGTGGAGAGCGGAGTCGGCTCGAGCAAGCAATCAGCAAGTCCTCCCAGCGAGCCGCGGCGTCAAGCAAAATTTCCGTCTATTGAGGCCACTATAGAAGAAGAAGCAGATGGCGCGCGCTCGTCACATGGGAGAGATAACGCGACTACCTCTACTCATCGCCCTGTACCCCAGATTCCTTTGACTCCATCACCAAGAGTGACTACCTCCAGACCTCTCACTGCTTCCCCTATGAGCAATGCCGGCTCAGAAGCAGATTCGCGGGCTTCTTCTCGCAAATTGGTGCAACGGATGACATATCCTCCACCTGCGGAAACGGCACTTCAAAACACAACTGCAAGAAACCGATTGGTGTCCACAGCCACTGAGGCGCCCAATGGGAGGCAACGAGCGGCGGCAACAATCTCAACGCCCATTGCGATGCCTTCGAAACGAGCACCTACTCTCTCCCTGAAGCCCACCGCGGGTTCTCAACCATTGAATCCTCGACCGCTTGGACCACGCGACCGTGTATCCTCCCAGAGCCAGAATCCCCGGTCCCGTTTCCAAACGCTACTAATCGGCCCGAAGTCACCCACGCAACCTTTGACTCCACGGAGTTTGACCGCCAGGAGATGAAAGCTGTTTTCCGAATTGGGCGTGGGCTGCCAATTGGGGTTCATATAGGTGTCCTCTATTTTTTTTCTGAACTGGAAGCAAGGCGCATGTAATCGGAAATCCAAAGAACACATGCTGTGTAATACACGACTTCATGATGCCCGGCGGAGTTTGTGACTGACCCGTGTGTGTGTAGTTCTGGATATTTATCCTGCAGACTGTGTCATTTCGGGAAATGCCGAACACAGGGTACAGGGGGGGTTCATGAGGGCAAAACCAGACTCCTTCCCAGTCGCTCACATGATTTCTCCGAGGTTTAGCCGCAACTTACGTTGCCCTCCGAAATCTGTCGAGCGACTGGTACAACTTGCAACACGTGATGTTCCCACGCTAAGTTGTAATGAGTTGTACATAGGTTATGGAATATAATTTTTAGTATTTACGCATGCGGTCATTGCAACCCGTGGAGACTAAGGGAGCACATCCAAGGTTGTGAAGTCAATATCCGGGGGTGCGCAAAGTTTAACAGTATAGAAAAACATAGGATGAGGCCGGAATAGGGCCGGGGTCGGACCAGATGAGAGTAGACCACTGAATAGAATTGTCGGCACAAATATATGTAAATACATGTTTTGAGGTTGATCTCCAACCAACAGTTTATATATTACTTAGTTACCAGTCACTTGTTTGTGCCCGGTGGCATAAGTGGTATAGCATTAGCTGAGGCTATGCAGTCTTTTTAAGTGGCACATGTTCGATTCTCACTCAGGAAACTTTTTTTTTCATACCCTCCATTCCTTAGTGTACAGAAAACAACCATTTCACACAATTATTCCATGGGAGGGCCCAAAAAAAGTTTCCCTAAGTGAGAATCGAACATGTGCCACTTAAAAAAACTGCATAGCCTCAGCTAACACTATACCACTTATGCCACCAGGCACAAACAAGTGACTGGTAACTTGTCAGAACTGTGCGAATCTTTGCTGATGGTAGCCATAGGTGACCAAGCGTTGCCCGCTAGTGGTACAGGCGTCCTACACATGACCGAGCTTTAGCGAGGGATAAACCCCACCGATCTTGAGGCCAAGGCTACTTAGGCGAGTGAGCTGGGATTTCGGCTTCAACGACTCGAGGAGGAGCGTTGCACCTCATTCTTGACGTGGTCCCGATACTTCAGAAGGTCGGAGGTCTTACAGGGGACAGAGGTAAGCTTAGGGGTGAGTTTCTAGTTGATTTCGAACTACAGTACAAGCATTAGTTACAAGCTGTATATAAGTGCTAGGGAACTGAATAGGGAATAAGTCGCCAGATCTCGTGGAGATTGCGGGCGGAGAAAAGAAGGAGGAAAACAAACAAAGAGCATGTGTTCAAGACAGCGAAGGTCAAGCGTGACCTTCACTGCGAGGTAACAAGGTGCGGCGAAACATGGGACAACAGGTTGCGGTGCTCTGCGCTGCTAGGTCGTTCAACGACAATTAGGAGAGGGGCTGCGGAGAGGTGGTGGGAAGTGGTTAGACGGTGACGGGTGGCAAGCGGAGTGCGCGGGGAGTGTTTGGGCGTGGGAGAGGGTCAGGGAGGAGGTTGTCTGGCCCTGGGGAACGCCGGGTCGTGACATAACTAAGTAATATATAAACTGTTAAACTTCGTGCACCCCCGGATATTGACTTCACAACCTTGGATGTGCTCCCTTAGTCTCCATGGGTTGCAATGACCGCATGCGTAAATACTAAAAATTATATTCCGTAACCTATGTACAACTCATTACAACTTAGCATGGGAACATCACATGTTGCAAGTTGTATCAGTCGCTCGACAGATTTCGGAGGGCAATATAAGTTGCAGCTAAACCTCGGAGAAATCATGTGAGCGACTGGGAAGGAGTCTGGGGCAAAACCTATTTTCAGATGACATTTTAGATTAAGTTATGTACAGTGAGAAATCGATTGTTAAGTGAAGAGTGTATGTTATGAGAAGGAATGTGTGGGAAAATCGCGAGATCGATCAAAAGCATGAGACTTGACATTTAAAACGCCAAAATTTGATGTTTAAACGTGAATTTTGGCATCTGAACATTGTGATAAATTGTTTATGGCATTTTTTGATATTATTGAATGTGTTTTTATACCCCTCAAACGCTCTGAATATGTTTTTAATAACTTAATAAATGTGTCATAAATGCTTCCTACAGCATCAAAATCGTCAAAAATCCGTCTCATATAACACATAAAGTACCACCACATCTGACCAATGTATTCTCATCAGCTGTTGGGTAGTTGTTGTAAATAAACGCCATGAAACGTTTCCCAGGCGTTTAAACAATATATGGGATTTTCCGACATGTTGGAATATGAGTCACATGATTAGACTAAACCGGGAATACTGTCCCATTATGACCATAGGTTCATTCCCACGGGTTTCGGGGATTGCCAGCTCCTTCTTGCGTAGTTCATCCCTCAGTGTGACATCACGTGAAAATATTGAACTGAATGAAAACTGAATTAATTTGCTGTTTCCGGCAACTCCCGGATACCGTGGGAATTAATTGTCAATACATTCATCTGTTCAAAGTCTCATTGTGACATGTGACTGAACCAATGGTCATAATGGGACAGTATTCTACAGGTTACTAGGTGCCTGTGTAAGTGCTGGGCATAGAAGAGCCTGGAATGTTATTGAGGAGTATAAATATGGGCACTGGAGTGCCATGTGTATTTTAGTTATATTTCTTTCTATATTGCATCTGGACTGCGAGTGAACTGCTGAAGCAGGTTGCCATATTTGGAATGCTGAATTTACAAGGGTGGGTCAGAGTGAAGGGTTGGTCAGCAGAAAAAGGTCAGTCAGCAGCGAAGGGCCGGTTGAAGGCAAGAGGCTGGTGTTGTAAATCCGGAGTTCCATATATGGCAACCCGCTTCAGTGGTTCACTCACAACCCAGATGTAATATAGAAAGAAGAAGAGAAACTGTAACTAACTAAAGAACATACAGTGCTAAAGCACCCATATTTATACTCCTGAATAACATTCCAGGCTCTTCTATGCCCAGCGCTTACACAGGCACCTAGTAACCTGTAGAATATTCTCGAATATTCCGGTTCAATCTAATCATGTGACTCATATTCCAACAGCTGGACAGCAGAAAAGGGTTGGCTGGTGGCGAAGGTCTGATTGGTTAGGTAATTATCAATTACATTGTAGTTACATTGTAGTTCATGTACTTTAAACTGAGTGCTTATATGTGGCTAGTTCATACTTTAGTGGGACATTTCCACATGTGTTCATTGTCAGGGCACACCTGCCCGACCTGCCTCCACCTGGGCCTACCTCACCTGGTACCCCTTCTCTCACCCTGCACCTGTTGAAATAACCACCTCAGCCTATCAGGGTGTATGGTGTAATGGCTGTGCACACTGAGCTCGCGATCCAGAAGACTGGAGTTCGATTCCCAGTATGTCCAACTTTTAGGTTTCCCTAAAAGACCACGTGCAAATTCCAACAGCACCCCTCCCTCATATCCCTTCCCCCTCTATCCCTCTTCCACTTCTATTTCTATTTCTATTTCTATTTCACACGGACGACCTTTCCCTTATATCTATGTATTATTGACCTGCCTGTGATGTGCACACGACATGCCTAGCCCCGGACGACCCTGGATGGCTCTAGGGTGCAACCCAGTGCGCATGTGTGCAGCATACGCCCTCGGGATCCCCCATGGGGACACCCGGGTGACCGTGGCTGTATGCGGGGTGACGTGGCGGACCTCATGTGACCCAAGCCGCATGTATATAAACACACCTGAGGTGGGAACCGAAGAAGTAACCTTCTTCTCAACATTCCCACTTCAGGTAAGTAGCATAGTTTCCCTTTTAATAATAACTCAACATTCCCACTTCAGTCTAAGTGGCCAGGGACCGCTGTCCCGCATTGGGCCTGCCAGTATGCATGCCCAATCTACCCCCTGTGAGGTCCTTAGCACCGGACGCTATGCCCGGACCGCCTCGACCCCGGACGCGTCCCTGACATTCATTTGAGATGGAGTGCTTGCTGGGCCCATACGAGAATTTAAGAAGTTTTGGAGTATTTTGGATGAATTGGGATTTCAATTCTTGCTCCAGACCAAATTCCTAAATTTGGGAACCGGCACCCGAAATGATGGATACTGCCGATTGAATTGAAGGGGGGGGTCTCGCACACTGCCCTAATCCTAAAAAGGGACATGATGTTTAGGATTTCCATAACTGACCCCCCATGGACTACAGGCTGCTTGTGAGAGCGCCAAGGGCAGGGGTCTTGAAATAAATACACAAAAATAAAGTAGATATAAGGGATGCATTCGATCTGGGGAGTCAAGTCCTATGACTGAGTAGTTCCCTAACCATTTCCTCTGGGGAGTTTCCACTTACATGTGATCGGATGTTATGCTGCCGGTTATCATAAAGGTAGGGGGATTCCGCCTTTCAGGGCAGGTGTTATCTCTTGGGGTTGGGGGTCTATTTAACGGAGGGCTATAATAATGTACTCAGTCTCCATTGTCATATCCGTACAATCCCAACCTCCGCTCTGGGCTCCCGGAACTCCGAAACCGACTCTTGGAGCCCTACTTCCCTTCTGTCACCTTCTCCTTGCCGACTCCCAAGAGGTTATCCCACCTCCGGCTCCGACACCACCTTTGGTCTGACTCTGGAACATTCCAGGTCCGTGTCAGGGCTCGGTCCTCGATTGGGGACAGTCCGACCTCAGGCCTAGGTGTGTGTGGTGTTCCAGGTGGCTGGGTGCTAGACGCTGTCCTCAGCTCCTCAAACTCACTGAAGGGACTAAGCAGGGATTTGTCAGGATCCGGACCCCAGCTGGGAGTGGCCAGAGGGCGAGGCCGGGTGTGGAAGCTGGGGTACTCTCCCCAGGTGCTAACTCCTCGAAGTCACTGAGGGGACTGGCCTCAGCCTTCACAGGGAATGAGCTGCTATTCATTGAAAAGCGGGTAAGTACACTTGCCTTCACAGGGAATGAGCTGAGAAGAAGGGTAAGCTTCTCAGCCCCCTGTGAGGCCGACACAAAAGGACCCTAGGAACTATACAGTTCCCGCTTGCTGCCGACTTTCCATAACGGGTGTGACCCGTGGGAAAGTTCTGGGCGAGCTGCTCACCCAGAATGTTCCCACGGTTGTG